AACCAATAAAAACAAAACAATGAATGCAATAAAAGACTTCAAAATAAGATAACAGTAAATCCAAAATGGCTACCATAATATATCTTGTTATCTTTGAAATAGTTGCTCATGCTATCAGATATAATAAAATCAAACAAGACAAAACAGAATAAAATGCAACCCTCCCCCCCAAGAAAACCAGTGAAAATAATACAGGACTTCAAAACAAAATGATAAGGTATTGATAATGGCCACCACTTTTAGAAGGAGATTCCTCAATAGATGCTACATTGCGTATTGTTATCCTCTGTATAGATGATCAGGCTACCAACTTTAGACCTGCAAAGTCAGTGAAACACTGAACACTACAAGCATTAAGTTGTATTTTACCTCAATAGCCATCATTGCAGACTGTGTTTCTCTGGATCAGTTGGTCACTTAGAGCGGTGTGTATAGGCGTACAGTTCCCAGCCCACTCACTGGAAAGGGCTGGATCTGGCTGTCCCCCCAGAGGCCTGCGCATGGTGCCGATTTGCAGGGAGGGCTTGTTTCTTGGTGTATCTTCTTGTTCTCATCCCCTGCAGTACACAAATGACCCCAGATCTTCATTTCATAATTTACTCTTTGGTGGGAACTGTTTACTTTGGAAGGAATGTCAACACGAATATGCAGGACTGGACCTTTTTTGTGACATTCTGCAGAAGTCTTGGTAAAGAGAGGGATGTGTGATTATTACTTAATCACTTGAGTAATAATCAGGGAAAATAAATGTTAGTGGCTCACATGGGAATCATCAAGCACTTCTGTGATGACTTTGGGCCCTTGCACTTATTACACAGAGTAAAATACACCAGATCCAAGGAAGAGAGAGCCTAATAATTGCTCTTAGCAGATCTTTTAGGCTGTTTCCTCAGATATGACATTTACAGAGAGCAGAGTGACTTCTTAAATGATTAACTCAGGTGATAGTCCCTACTAAATGTTTTGTATTTACGATATTTTGTGAATTGGTATATATTTGTGTTTGTGTGTGCAGCTGTAACCCAGCATTAACAAATAACCCGGGGGTTTAGCTCAGTGGCATAAGTGTCTATTTGGCAAACTTGAGGTTGTGAATTCAATTCCCATACCAAAAACAAGCGAACAAACAAACAAAACAAATAACCTGGAAGATTCCTTGCTTTCTTGCACTTAGCCGATTGCATCTCACTGGTTCTACTGCTGAAATGGGGTCTTCCCTATGGCAGTACATGTGACTATCCACATGTCTTATAGTGTATTTTAGTATGTTATGTAGGTAACTGTTCTTCATGTATAAATATGCACAGGCTTCGCTGTACCCCAAGATTTTGAGTTTGTCCTCACATCTCTGAGTGTAGAATGGAAAGAAACCCAGAAAGACAGCAATCTATATTTAGTAAGGATGACAGGAAAGAACTAGATCAAGTAAGAGAATAGTTGGACTCCTGAGAGAAGAAATCTAGACCAAGTTCTTTGGGAGTTTGGGGTTGCTCTGAAAGTATGGAGAGAGACAGGTTCTCTCTCATGAGTTGAAAGGCATTGGAGAGAAAGGGGCTGAAGATGTTGGGGTTGTTTATCTCTGGCTCTTATGATTTCTATAATTGAAACTTTGCTGTGACATTGTAGTAGATTCCTATTTTTCTTTTCTTTCTTTCTTTTTTTTTAAAGGTATTTGTAATTTTGGTGCTGAAGTGAACCACATTACAAAAAATGCACACATCTGGATATCTACCACTTTACCTAAACCTATATTCATTTCACAATCCAAAAATAGAACACACCTAAAATTACTGTCAATGCAGCTAAGTAATGTCTTTCATTGATGCATGCCTGTAAGACTTAAACAAATTTCTTAACAGCTGGAAGTAAACTATTGATACTTTATACAGTAAGCTAATGCATGACAGTCTCAGTAAATTAATCACATGGTTTTTGCTTGTATTAAAAAGAGTAATGTAAGTTCCTATGATAAGCACCTTAGAGATTTAAATATGGTGATGGTCTTAGATTCAATCACATGAGGTATTTTATAGCATTTGTTATTATTTAGAGTGATATTTCTCAGATGTAGCCCTTTGGCTTTTTGCCTACCAATCACCTTAGTGCCTAGATAAAATGCATTTATAGGCAATGGTGTAGGCTTTTGTTTTTTGATGTGACATTGTTTATTTTTATTTTAAAGGGGATAAAATTAAATACAACAAAACAGAACAAACTAGGACATAAGAAAACAATGTAAGGAATATAAATTTCAAAGCTAGATGACCTCAGATTTTCACTATCTATCATATTGTCTCTTGTTTTCTTCCAAATAGTTGTCCATGTCTTCACATAGACATGGAAGAGAATAGAGAATTAATACCAAAAAAAAAAAAACACAGTATAAAACTGATCTGAACAGAATGAGGAAGGCGATTTAGGTCTTCAAAACCAGACAATAGGGAAGTCACTAATGGCTGTCGTAGCCAGAGACTTCTTGCGCTCTTCAAAATAGCTGTCCACTGGTATAGGCTTAAATGATCAGAATTTTTGGAATAATGCTGCCAGAATGTACAAGAGATGAAAAGGGTTTTCACTCTTCCTGCCTTTCCTGCAGGTCATTCATAGCTATAAACATTTTTGTGTTCTGTCCTGTGTCTGCTGAATGTTGTATGTTGGGTGGCTGTGGTAGGCAGACAAGTGGCATGGAAGTGTTCACTTACAACCTCTCAACTGGGAATATGGTCACTTCTGTAGCAAAAGGGATTTACAGATGAGACTAATGATCTTGAGAGGAGGAGATTATTGTGCAGTATCTGACTCCATTAATGTAATCACAATGATCCTTAAAATAGGTGCAGTGAAGGGTCAGAGACAGAGGAGCAGGTTGATGACACAGGCAGTGTTAAAATAATGTAGGAAAACTCTGAAAGCTGGAAAAGACAAGGAAATAGGCTCAGGAAGGTGTGTGTTCCTGCTGACACTTAAACTTCTAGTAGAGGCCTATTTTAGAGTCTGGGCCTCCAGGATAATAAGATAATAAATCTGCATTTGAAGCTGCTAAATTTATGGTAATTTGTTATAACAGCAAAAGGAAACAAATACAGTGGGTGTCAGTGTCTGGAATGGTTTAGATCTAGAATGTTCCCCCAATAGTTCAGGTTTAGACACAAGGCTTTTGAAAGTCAACTGGATCATGGAGGTGATATGTTCACCAGTGGACTAATTCATAGATGAGTTCATAGATAAATGTGCTGGTACAAGGTGGGGGGTGACTGGAAAAGTAGAGTAATTGGGCAGTGTGACCCAAAAGGTGCATTCTTCTTCCATGTCCTCCCTCGTCTCCTCTCCATCATGAAGTGAGCAGCTTTTCTCTACCACACCCTTCTGCCATGCTGTTTTTGCCTTGGAGTTGGCCAACCATGGACTGATCTCACTGATACCATGAATCAAAATAAGTCTTTCTTTAAATTTTAGGTTCAGGTATTTTATCCCAGTTTCACTTACATAGTATTTCTCTGGAAATTGATTGGTCTGGGGCCTACTATGCAATTATGGCTATCTAGTTTGTATCCTCAGAGCTTGTATAGGGAAAAGTGATGCAAAAGATTCATTGACTAAATGAATGAATGAATGAGTGATTGGTGACTACTTCCATATGGTTTGGGTTTTATTCCTAATCTAAGGAATGCAGTAGTGCCATTAGAATGCAAAAGTTCTTAGAGATGTGTGTGATATATTTTGACTGTCAAGGTCTGGTTTCTGGCTACCAGGAAATGACGACCTTGTCTGTTCCTTTCGTATGATCAGTCATAGCTTGTTACTTGGCCAGCCAGACATTTAGATTTTACCCATGGCTACAATCTCATTTTTAGATTTTGAGCACATAGATATTTTTATTTCTGAAAAATTATTAATATAGTTAATCTAATGAAATGGCATTTTCTCCCTAGCAAGCACATTACAAAGAGAAATTTAATATCTTCTTTATGTAAAGAGTTATCATCTGGCTTTCAGTTTTTCTCCATTTCAATACAAGATTGGTGGGCATAGAGTCAAGTTGCTAAGAATTTACATTCAACTCAGGGTAATTTTAACAGGCTCAGATAATTTCCCAGGCCCGAGGTTCAGAGAAGGACCAGAATTTCCCTCCTGTCTGGGTGGATGTCCAGTTTTGCCTTGTCTAGATATGTTGAGTCTGCTGAAGTATCTATTTCCCTCCGTAGACTATAGACCAGCACAAAACAACCTTATTCAGTTCAAATCCAGGGTAGCTGTATAAGCTAAAAATAGAATTCTTCAGAAAAAATTTTAGACGTTAATGAAGAATTAATCAGATGAGTTAGAATTAACTAATTAAGTCATGACATGAGAAATGGCGTATCGCTATAATACAAAGCGCCCCAAAGTCCACTGGCACAAAGCAATGGCTGTGGCATTATTCCCTGTACTTCTGTGGGCCAATGGCGTTTGCCACGTGGGGCTCCTGCCCGCCTCCCCTGCTGTCACTCAAGTGATGGGGGCGGGGCTGGAGATCTCCAGGATCTACCAGAAGCATATCTTCACAGTCACAGATCACTTCATGTGATCTCTTCCTTTCTGGAAAGGGTAGTAGTGAAAAGGAACTCACAGCTATTTATAACCAACTTTGAGGTCAAACTTCTTGTTTTGTTCCTGACTCCCAACATGGTTGTTTCAATGGAAGAAAAATGAGGTATTTGCATAAAGAAATAAATCAGTGCATAAAGAAATAAATAATGTGTAGTAACTATATGAAAATCATTTCATAAAAGTCAGATAGTGACACCAATGATTAGAGACTGGGCAATAATTTGCTTTTTTCCCCAATAATATATTGTTATTAACCATAGTGGTCACATTGTATAATAGAGCTCTACAATTTGTAATGTAGAAAATAATTTGAGTGTTGGAGGAAGTAAGATGTGGAGGAAACTCCCTGTCAAAGAATAGTTCCTGGGCTGGGGATGTTTCTCAGTGGTAGAGCACATGACCAGCATGAACAAAGTCTCAGATTTGATCCCCAGCATTGTGAACTTAAAAAAAAAAGCCAGTTTGTGAGCTGGGTGTCGAAGAAGGGTAGGAGTTTGCCAGTCGGAGAGGGAGTGGGCGCCTCTTGGAGAGAAACCACGGTGAAAACACAGCCCAGGTGGGAATAAGCGGTGGGGCAGGGAAGGGAGTACAGGGCCCTCTCCCCAGGGGACGGCAGGACGCCCGGGCTCTGTCCCGAGAGCCCTGTGGACCTGGTCTGTGGGGTGAAGGCCCTTCAAACTTTACCTCCGGTCAGCAGTGAACCAGGACTTTGAAACAGGAGTGGGTGAACAGAACTAGCTGGAGACAGCGCCTCACAGGTCTCCCCAGTGGCTAGGATTTGGGGTGGGATCTGACAGGTGGGTTCTGTTATTCGTGTTTAAACGTGGAAGATGGGTCCCAGTCTGCGGGAAGAGACAGGCAGGAGCACAGAAAGTAAGGGTGTAAGCTCCCATCTCATATCCAGCGCTTTAACCACAGGAACTTCAGAGCCCTTTTCATAGATTAGCTCATTTAATTCACACATGCATCTTATGAGGCAGATGCTCTTATTACCTCCGTTTTACAGATCAGGCGAATGCAGCACACAGAGGCAGTAAGTGAAAAATGAAGGACTTGAATTAGCTGCTAGCAGAGACCTCATTTGAGGTCAGGCAATTTGGCTCCGGACATGGAGCTTTCAACCACGGCGCCGTGCTGCTACCTGGTGGTCAAAAGCTGTAAACGCAGTAAGGAGGGAGCACCTGGACATGCCGTAGGGGCTCCTGGGAGGATGTGAATTTGGGGTAGAAATTAGGATGATTGGTCTGGGAGATAAACAGAGGGAGCAAGCGTACGCCAAAGGACGGAGGCCACAGCTACTGCTCCATGGCCAGGGAACAAGAGGAAAGCGGAACGTGTCAGGAGACCCAGTGCAGAGATGGGAGGAGCCCCCGGACCTTGTACGGGGCTTGGGCTTATTCTGAGGCTGACGGAAGCCACCGCAGGAGCAACTGGGGAGATCTGCATTTCCCATGAATCCCCTCGGAACTGCGAGGAGAACGGATGCAGAGGCAGAGGCCGATGACGTGTGGCCCACGCTTGGGGGTCCAGCTCTCAGAGGCTCAGGTCTGGTCTGAGCAACGCTGTGACTTGGTGAGATCTTGTGTCAAGTTCAGCAATGCTCTTCTGAACAGAAGCAAGGTCCGGCCTCGGACAGACAGATACCAGGGGACTGCACACTAGCCAACCGCCCACAGCCGGGGTGTGGTCAGTCCACGATGTCCCTACTCCGTATATAATGTGTTTGTAGGGTGCTGTGAGCTAAGACTGCATTCCGAGTCCAGCTAATATTACCACTTTATTTCCAGAAAGAATAAAAGTTGGTGAAAGAAGCTCAAAGGAGATTTCCTTCAAGCACTTATTAGTTTGCTGTAAGGTAGGCACAAGGCTTTGTCCCTTTATCCACCTCTGCTTTTCAGGAGCAGAGGTGAGGGGTGGCCAGGCTTCCCGCAGACAGCCCAGCAGGATACTCAGGGTCAATACCTGCACAGATCAGGGGACAAGTGAAATCCTGGACCAGCTACAAAATATCTCTAGAGTTACTTTCAGTGAAAAGAAATCCTGGGAATAAGAAACTATTTCACATCTAAGGGGAGAAAGGACTTCCCCTCCCCTTAAGCCCAGGTTGCATGGTTTAGAAGGCAGCTTGCTGGACACTGGTCAGGCGTCTTCTCAGATTTGCAAGGCCCACAGGCATCTGAAATGCTACCTCTTCCTCAGCAGAGAGCCCAGCTTCGAACCACTGGTTTCTTCTTTTACCAACTGTGTCAGCCTCTGCCTGGTGGTGGTCAGCTATCCACTGGTTGGGAGATAGAAGAGGAGTGACCTCTTCTCCAGGATGCCCAGGGGCCCCTTACTCTCTGTCTGGAAGCTTTTGTTACAGCATCTCTCCAGGCTGAGACACCCCTATCCTCACTCCTACACTCCCATTGTCTTCATTGGTAGAAAACAATCTTGTTCCTTCAACTGATCAAACGACGCTTAATCAGCAGCATGGATTGCTTGTATTCTGTGATTTCTTGGGGGAAGGGCCAATACAAAATATTGAATCCAGGGCATTTGCACTGACTTACATCCCAAGTTTTTTCATTTATTCAATTTTTTTCTTTTTATTTTGAGACAGGGTCTCACTAAGTTGCTAAGTTGCCCATGTTGGGCTAGAACTTGTGATTCTCCTGCCTCAGGGGCTCAAAGAACTGAATTTATGATGTGCACCACCATCCCTGGCTTCCATGACTTTTTTAGTGTTATATGCAGGAGGATTTGCGGGACAGACAGAAAATCATCTCACAGCAGCTCACACCCTCTTAATTCTCCAAAAGTCTGCACAACCCTCCAGCTCATTGCTTTTTGTCCGCAGGGGGAAAGCCAGGATTTGAGAAAAGCAATTTCAACTTTTGACACTAGCTTTACTTAGAAAAACTACAGATTACAGTCTAGAGGGCTAAAACCTACATAAATGGATATTCTTTGAAAACGGAAAACTCTACTGGGTGCTAAAATTACTTATGAAACAAAAGAGAAAGCAAAACAACAGGCACAAAACACATCGACTGTGCACTGTTAGGAATAAGCTCTGTGGTCGTAGCTGCTGCTTGACTCAGTTTCACCATTGGTTTGTTTTGTTTTTTTTTAAAGGACAGTGTTTGCTTCTATTAGGGACCATGTAGGTGCAGTTGTTTAAGTGCTTTGAACAGTGAGAAGGATGAATGAAACAAAACACAGGTTCTTGGGCCTGTGGTCGCACATTGCTCTTATTTGTCAAGAAACATCAATATTTTCCTTCTCATTTTCCTCTTCCAGCATCAAGAGAGTAATCTTTACTGCCTCCAGGTCCATTGGGAGAACTTCATATGACGTGGAGAAGTAGAAAGGTCTGCTGTGCGGCCTCCTTAGCTTGTTGTTCTGTAACAAACGCCTTTCACCATCACCACCTCTTATGGCTTAGTTTGAAAATGTTCCCCCCAACTTCATGCATGTGGCAGGTGGTTGTATTGTGGGGCTCCATGACTGACACTCTGTGAGGAGCTGGCAGGGAAGGGTCACTGTGGATGTGACCCTGAAAGACGTCTCACTGCCTGGCTCCTTCCCTAACGCTCTGCTTCCTGCTTGTCATGAGGTGAGTGTACCGCTGACTGCGAAAGGGCTCTAAAACACAAACCAAAATGAATCTTTCCTTAAGCTTCAAATATTGGGTATTTTGTCCCAGCAATGTGGAAAGGAATCAAAACATCACTACTCTACAGAGTTTTTACCAGGACATTTATGTTTAAAAGCTGGCAGGATACAGAGATGAATGAGCAGTCTTGGCATGGGCCAGTGCCGAGTGGTCTGTGGCCTTCAAGCCTTCATAAAGGGAATGTCCTTTCTCTCAAGGGTGCTGTGGAGGCCAGGCTTGAGGTGTGGATCCCAAAACAGAGGTCAGAAAGCTCACTTAGCAGGAAGAATCTGGTTGGATGTAAACCTCTATACCTTTAACTGATGAGATACAGTCTCTCCGTCCCAGAGCAGTGGATCTGATACCAGTGTTTCAAAAGAAAGATCTAGAATTGTAAGACACAGAGTAGCCTAACTTTGTGATTCTCTTTGCTTTAGTGTACTTGGGTCTTTATAACAAATACCATGAAGCAGCTAAGTTATAGACAATGAAATTTATTACTCAGAGTTTGGGAGGCTGAGGAGTCCAGAATCAAAACGTTAGCAGAAAAGGCTCAGGGTGTGTGGTGAGGGTTCATTTCTCAGAGATGGTACCTTCTCATTGTGTGCTTGCGTGGTAGAGAGCACTGGCTAGCTCTTTGGGGTTTCTTCTATGATCACATTAATCCCATTCATGTCGAGAGAGGCCTTATGACCTCTCAAAAGTCCCATCTCCTAATGTCACCACGATAGGGATTAGATTTCTTTCTTTCTTTCTTTTTTTGTGTACTCAGGATCAAACTCATGACCTTATGCTTGGCAGGCAGGAGCTTATGCCACTGAGCTAAATCCCCAGCCTGACGGGGGTTAGATTTCAACACACCAATTTTGGGGGAACATAGACATTCAGGTCTAGTGTTTCTTTTCTGCTAAAGTTCACAAGAAGAATCTATGAGGCCGAAAGCTGTTGATGTTTTTAATTTGTTCACAGTTTAAAATAGTACCTATGTGGGTAAAATGAGACAGAATTTCCACTGTGCAGGAGGAATAGATTCAAGAGATTTCTTGTACATCTTGATGACTCCTGTTAATAATTATCAGATGCTTGAGAATGGCTGAAGAGATTTCAGGTGTTCTCATCACAAAATATAGGTACAGTGATGCGTCAGTTTATGAATTTAATGTGTCTTATGATTTTAGAAAAGATTCTGTTTGTGGTTGTGCAAGGAAGGTGGCTGTGGTCAGGTTTGTCATCTGAAACAGAGATTGTGAAGGGAGGCAAAATTGTGCTGAAGGCTTTTTTTGTTTGTGAGCTGAATTGTTTGTGTTTGTGACCTGAGGTGTTCCTGTACGTGAATGGGTGCCGACTTAGCCGCTCCATAATGTAGAGTAGGTTACAAACAGACTGAGCGAGGCCACACAGCCAGACATGAGGACAGCAACCCAGCCCAGGTGTCACTCCTCCTCTGATGGTTTCTATATGTTAAAACAACCACATTTACCACTTGCATTAGTTGCCTCTTGCATTCTGTCAAATAAATACAAACTTGGCTTAAAACCATACCTGTTTATTCTTTTGGAGTGTTATAGGCCGGAAGTTCCGGCTCCTTCCGGAAGTTCTGAGGATGGAATCTGTTTCCCGCCCCCCTCTAGCTTCTCTCCAGCTTTCCTCCAGTGGTCGCATCTCATCTGCCTCTTCTGTAGTCGGATCTCTGTCTGTTTTATTTTTATTTTGTCAAGATTATCCATTGTAACAATCTTCCCATTTCCAGGACCTTAATCATGTCTGCAAAGTTCCTTCTGCCACGTAAGGAATCACTGGTGGGCTCCCGACCTCAGGGTGTGGCCGTGTTTGGAATCCTTCATTCTGCCAAAGCGCCACAGGTCAAATGAGATAACTCAGGGGATCATGTGTAGTCACTGAGTCGGGTGTGGGGTAGGGGACCTCATAAGATCAGAAAATATGTGCAAACTGGAAGGCCAACATTACAATGAACATTTTCAGGATGACTTTTGCTAATTTCACCCAGGTTCAAATAACAGGCATCTCCCCTAAAGTTTCCTCATTTCTAGATTTTCTTTTCTTTTCTTTGTTTAGCTGTCTGTCCATGGAGCCACTGAGCTTTGGGTTGGGTCCCATTTCTGTTTTGTCCCTGTAAGCTCCTTCCAGAAGTCATGTTTATGCAAAACAAAAAAGACAGCTGGATTTTGGAGGAACATCTCACTTCTTACACGGGGAAGCAGCGGTGATGGAGCACCCACTGAAGGGACAATTATGTAAAGAAGTGGGTATGTTCGGCTTCCTCTGCTCCCCAACTGAAGAGCAGCAGATTTGGTTCCCATGCTAGACAGCTGGCTTATTTGAGGTTGGCCACTTGGCTTCCTTGGGCTCTGGTTAATGACTGCACCGGGAAGGGCTGTGGTAGGTTATTTATAAGCTCCTTCCTTCTCTATTGCATGGGAATTTTTATACATTAAATCTACTCTTAAACATTTCTCAACTTAGGGGGATTTTTGTGTCATTACTGGGGCCTTCCTCTTGGTAGTTTCCTCCTTGAGAGCTCTAGAGTATTAATAACAAGGCTTAAAGTGTGAAGCAAACAGAGAACAAAAGAAGAGGGAGAATATGAAAGCTACCAGGAATTCTATGCACTTGCTTTTTGACCTGTGTGACCAGGTCATACTGGATACAGAAAGTCTGGACTTCTCTGTTACCTGGCCAAGTCCTGTAAACCACACAGCCCAGCCCACTGGCCAAACACTGGCCGTCCCACTCCCCACTGGCTATCCTACACTTATGTGGTGCAGACAGGGACTTCTTTGTTCCTCGGGTTCTGCCTTCACCAGTCTGAAGATGGTAGGGGTTCCACAAGGCCTACTGCCTTTCTCCCCAAGGGTTTGGCATAGCCCAGGGCCCTCTGGGCTGGGGCATATCCACTTGGCCCCTCTTCTTTCTTTTTCCTATTCTCCCATAACAGCCAGGCCTCTATTGCTTTTTTCTTTTTCAGTAGTAGGAATTGAACCGAAATTATTGGATGTAGCACTGAGCTATATCCACAGCCCTTTTTTATTCTGAGACAAGATCTCAGGCTGGCCTTGAACTTGTGGTCCTCTTGCTTCAGCCACCCAGAATACTGGAATTATAGATATGCTAATGCAAAGCATTTCAGCAGTCTCTTTTCAATGTGCTTATCCATGACATTTGCTATAAAAGCAGTTCTCTCCCAGAGTGTTTCTGGCACTAAATGTTAAGGTAATACTATGTTTGCTCTCTGCTTGCTTTCCTATCTTACAATACTAAAGCAACAGGGACAGAAGAGTTGCTGAGGGAAGAGAATTTAGGGTTCAAATATAAATTCAGTCTTGCTTTGAAAGCATGACCTTTGCCTCAACCAGATTGCAAAATAAATAGAACTTAACATAGTAGTCAAATAGTTGCTTTACTTTAACTGATAGCTATTATTATCAATTTCTCTTTGGCCTTTTTGTGATTCTGAATGCTTTTTCCTTGAAAACTATGACATTACTTTATCCTTTCAACACATTCTAGCATTTTGCCTTTTTCTTTTTAATCCAAAGTAAAAGAAGCAGAAAGGAAGTTTGCAGAGAATTGGCAAAATCAGCTGTAGTGTTAGAAGATCTGGCTGGGAGCCTTGGCCCTCTCCTCTCTAGACAATTCACCTGGGAAAGTCAGGCAGCATTAGAGGAAACACTAGTGGTTATGCTAAACAGCCTGTGAAACGTCTAGGAAAATATCACTGAGCTTGAAGTAGGTCACTTGTGACAGTAGATTGTTCCATATTTAAATTGACCTTAGACTGTCTGCAGATCTAAGGAAGCCAGGTTTAAAAGAAGTGCAAAGAATGTAGGAGAGGAAATGGAAAGTTTACCGTTCTTTAGTCTTTCAAAAAAATTCTTTTTATTCATATATATTTGCTGTGCATAGTAATTACATTCGTCTTGGGGAATTGATCCAACACCTAGGCATCTCTTTCATTTTTCCTTCCTGTTTTCTATCTCTCAACTTTAAAAAAGGACTTGGACTTTTAAAATTAAGAAAGTGGAAATGACAATGAAGGAAGAGCATCCAAAATTGAATCAAATCTGGTCTATCTAATGACTTAGTAAGACCTTGTCTCAAAATTTAAACTAAATTAAAAAGGGTTGGGGATGCAGCTCAGTGGGTTGAATCCCCCATGCACCACCACCACCACCACCAATAACGACAACTACCACCACCACAAAATCCTGGTACTGTGTATCATAATTCCCGTGGATCTTTAAAAAGACGTGTCCTCTAATCTGTGTCTCTCACTGATTTACAATCTTTCTAGTCAGCCTGGAATTTTAGGAGTTTGCCATATTTTTAAGTTTTGTGCTAGTCTGGTAAAAGAATATGATCACATCGATAGTGATTTCCAGGAATCAGTGATGTTAAAATTTTTATCCTTACCAGTATGATATTTTCTGTGCTGTGATAGAACTGGAAAAATCCTTCCCACCAGACACAGTAAAAACTGGTGGGAAAAGTGATTTAACAGTAAATGTCTTTCTGGTAATGAGAAGACAGATGCTGACATTTCAGCTGAGTGTTTTCTTTTGACCTGTGTGCTGAGAAACGCAGTGTCCATGCATCTGATGCATCTTATAGCTGTGAGCCTTACTGTCTCATCCCTTCAAACAAGTGATGTGCTCCAAAGGATGAAAGTACAGGACTACTGTGAGTGCTTGGTGTCAGCCCAAAGACTGCAGGTTGTTGGTGGGGGAATGGTTTCACCTGTAGAAGACTCTGCTAAAAAGCAAATGGATTGCATAATACTTGTAGTATTAAACAGCTCTTGCTTGAAGGTACATGTATGTGTGAGTAAATGTGTGTGATGAAATGGCAGAGTCAGAAGAAGTCATTCTGATAACCAGATCTTGACTCATGTCAAAACGAGAGGCCATGGTGTGTCAGTTTTGCTTGGCTTCCTCTTTGGGTGAAGACTTGCAAGGGAAAGCAGAGAAGGGAGCTCTTTCAGAGGATGGAGAGAAAACGAGCAGGGTGGCCCAGAGGGCTCAGGTGGGGCTCAGGTGGCAGGAGAGAAAGATCTGGCTCTTACACTTGACAGTGCAGAAGGCCTTCAGGAGAAGTGACGGGATGAGGCCAATGAGATAACAACACACATGCTTTGAATAGTCTCATGTCTGTGTATAGCTTATATTTATTTTGCATTTTGCTGTTTTACCTTGGAGTAATTTTAGGCACACAGAACTGCTATAGAGGGAGAGGGCAGAGTATCTGCCCCTCATCGAGCCTGCTCTGCACAGGAGTCTTCTGTTCCCGTGGTGTGGGCATGGGTGTGGGCCCAGGGAGTCTAGCTGGTGAGTCACCATGAACTGAACTCCAGACCTCACTTGGATTTCACTGGTTTCCCATGAATGTCCTTTCTCTGATCAAGGATTCCCCATAGCCACTGGCCATCTTGTTTCTCTGGGTTCCTCTGGTCTGTGACAGTGTGTCAGGCCTCTTTTGTTTTTCACGACCGTCATGGTTTATGTTGGTGGCCCCCAAGCCTTCGTATCATGCATTTGTGATTGGTTCATTGTCTAGCCCTTGGATTGGGGGTGTGAGTGTTACACCGGCCTAGGGATGGAGCCAGAATATATTGTAATGGCAGGAAGAAGGTGTCTCTCTCTCTCTTGCCAGTTTCTGCCTTGCTATTTGCAGCCTCCATGAACTGTGGTCCCGCCATGCCACCCTGCCTTGGAGCCAACTGAGTATGGACTGAAACCTCCAAAAACTATAAGAAATAAACCTTTCCTTTCCCAACTTTGGTATTTTGTTTCAGCGATGAGTAAAAAGTAACAAAGACATGACCTTGTTAAGTTTGTAGAGTCAGTGATTTTTCAGTCCTGGGGATCGAACCCAGGCTTGTGTTAGCACTGAGCTACATCCCCAGCCCTTTCTGTTGCTTCATGTTGAGAGACAGCGTCTCACTATCATTGCCCAGGGGGAATTTTGCTCTTTCTCAGTTTTCCTCAGTGCTGGGATTTCAAGTGTGTACCACTGCACTTGCCTAGAGCTTTTCAATATCTTTTATAAGTTAATTATTTTAGTTTATAAACATACTTTTAAAAGTATGATTTTTTTCAAAAGCCTGGTGACTCCCTGACAATAGCAGTGTCCACCTTTCCCTGATGGGAGGCCAGCCGTCCCAAGACAAAACTTCAAGCACACCTGGGAGTCAGCAACTGGGTGCTAGGAAAATGGTAAGCAAGTCACTTTTTAAAAAATGAAAATTTATTGGGGTAGGGCTCTTTCTCCTTAATTCAAAGTATTTGGAGTCTTAATTGAAAAGAAGGGTGTTGCTTTCTTCAAAGCCTGGGCTCAAGGGCTTGGAGGAGATCCAGGAGTTGATGTGTTAAGAAAGTGCCTTCCTCCTTGGAACTAATGGGGTGCTGTTACCGTGGTGCATTTCTCTCCACATGAGTGAACTGCAGAAAAGGTTTGATTTCCACAGCCACCAGTAGAGGAGAAAAATGAGTGGCAGGGAAGAAGGACAAAAAAAAAGTCTCTCCCTCCAGGGATGAAGCCAGAGGTTCCTCACCCAGGGTCAACTACCTAGGCAGGGGCAGCTTTAAAAACTGCTTTGTTGGAGAGGTGGTAGGAAGCCAGGATGTAGGCTTTTGGAGCTAAGGAAGGTGAGGGCAGAGGAGGAAAGGCAGAAGTGAGTAATGGGATAGAAAAAGATCAAGATACGTTAAATGCATGTATCAGTTTACCCAAATGAACCTCAGCCTGTATCACAAACATGCACTAAAACAAACAGACAAACAAGCAAACAGTGTTACTAAGATTAAATTCACACACTACTGTTAGTGTACCACTCAGTGTGTTTCCGTATAATTCACAGGTTGTGCTGCTTCATCACAATCTAATTGTAGAACATTTTGCTGCTCCTCACTCCTCAAGAAATTGGCAGTCCTTCCCCGATGCCCACCTTCAGTTGCCACAAGCACCCATCCGACTTCTGCCTCTATGGATTTGTTGACTCTGAACATTTCACATTAAAAGGAATTACTAAATATGTGTTCTTTGTGTCTCACTTGTTTCACTTACCATGACATTTTTAAGGTCAGTCCATGTCATAGCTCTGCTGTAGCAGGTCAAGTACCTTTGCCAATCAGTGTCCCATTGTAGGCATGTGCCATACCTTATTTTTAAGGAGTTAGTCCATAGAAAGGGACAGAGGAAGCCCCAATTACTCTTGGGTCCTTTTGCTATTACCAGTTTACTGAAAGCATGCCAGGCTTGATCCTGGAAAACTGGCCCAGGGATGAAGGCTTGGTTACATCCTGTTCAGTTTTCCTCATCTTTACTCACTGTGTTGAACTGGTTTCATCACAGACCATTGTCTTCTCTTGGGACACTCCGGTTTCTCTCGAGCTAAGTGTTCTGACACCACATTCTGCTCAAATGATTCACATCATTACAATTCCCAATTGCTGCAGGTGCTGCCCACTCTGTTCCTGTCCCACCCCAGTGCTTCTTGGGCCTTGTCCTGTGGACATTTACCGAGCTCCAGGTGCTGTGCAAGAGAAACAGCAGTGCCTGTTCAGGAGTGTCTTGTGACTAAGACTACTGAAATTGTAGTGGGGTAGCACCGAGGGGTGTGTCGTACCTCAGTGTTTAATTCTGTCCCACATTCAGGATTCTGACTTGGCTTTGGGGCTTCATAGTTATGTGGTCTGGGGTGGGTGGTAAATTTATGTAAGCCTCAGTCTCCCCATAATCTTTAATTATAATGATGACTAAGGCACTAACTCTCACAGGTGTAAGGATGGATTTAGAACTGGGTTAAATGACTCCACTTTTAACAAGCATCCTAAGATTCAGGTTAAGAATAGCTTCCAAATATCGTTTTGAGTGACATAGCAGTAGTTAACAGAGAAAGAATCAATTTGTATACCACTTTCCTGTTTCATGAGCTGACATTTGAAAATCACTCAGAACATGGCTTGGTGTGTTAGGAATGCATTTGTTAAAAAATGAAAGCTCTCTTCTTTCCCTTCTAGATAATAAGGATGTATGAGCCACTAGCTGAGGCTTCCATGAGAAGAAACTGGAAAACCACTGATATGAGGTGCCTGGTTGCAGCAGGAGTTGGGGTCAGTACCCACTGCTGTGGGGCTCCTCATGGAACACCCTGGAGCATGAAAGACGGCCAGAAGCTGACACAGCAGGGGGAATTGGCTGTTGTGGTAATGGAGCAGTAAAATTTCATCGTACACTTAAAGACATCCTCTCATCTAAAGGAAAGAAAGGTAAGTGGCTGGCAAGCACAGTACTGATTCTCATGTCACACGGTGATCACCCATGTGCCCATCCCAAGAGGCCACCATCTCAAGTGCTACCGCAAAGAGCCACTAGAACATTGTCTGGTCCTCATCCACCCAGCTGCAACCCAGCATCATCATCTTCATCTTCACCCTGCCTCATTTCACATTTCCAGACCCACCTGACTCCTTGAGAGAGGAGCCTGATACCTCAGGAGAGCTGTGTGCTGACCCTGGTCTCGGCTTCTTAGTGTAGACCCACACAGGCCTCAGAACAGTAAAGGCAGAGTCTCCTTTTATCCTTCTGGAGGAGGTGCAACTGGGTGCAGAGGCATGGCAGAGCTGAAAAGGTCTTTGGGATGGATTATTCCTTGCCTTTGGAGACTGCTGAGCTTCCTAAAATTGCTGCTAGGCTTCTGTCCTAGAGTTACCTTTACGCATTTGGGTTTGTAGTAAGGGTCTTAAATAGCTACTAGACTGCACTGTGACATTGTCAAGTCTCAGGTTTTGGGTTGGTTAGATATGATAACAACTTAGTCATTATTTACTTTTTTTCCTTGGCAAAAGCATACATATTTTCAGATTGGGTGCTGCAGAGTTAAGTCTGCAGATTCGATCTGTTACTACCTGGTGTAGGCTGCAGTCATGATGATTGCTCCCGTGCCATATATGTCTACACATTCCTGTCAACACAGCTGAGAAGTTTGGGTATATAGGTGAGAAAACCATGGGAAAAGTCAGAACAAAGCATGTATGTCTCTTAGAGCTGGTGACACAGGATGGCTTGGAATAAAAAGACAAATCTCTTGACTCTGAAATTAATTTGAAGATTTAAGGAAGATTCTTGGGCTGACTTGCATGTTAAGTGGGTAAGTGAATTCTGAAGTCACGCGCTGGGATCTTACTGTGGGTATGAACATCTCCCTCCCCTTCTTCCAAACCAATTTTACATTTCTTTTTAGAAAATTTTAAAATTTGTATTTGTGTGTGCTTGCAATAATGATTCTGTTCATTTTGGGGAGTTGGTACATGTCCAACTTTACCCTTCTAACTTAAAGCACTGAACCAATTAACGTGGATAACAGGAATGGGAACGGAATGGGTCCATGTTCTTAGATTCTTCAGTAGGTCTGGGGTTTCCCTTTGGGAATTTTTTTTTTTTTAAAGAACTCATTGGCTTAGGTCCCAGCATCAGCAAACTTCCTGCTCACTCAGGCAGAGGAGGGAAGCTTGATAGAGGGCCTGGGGACAGTTTATCACCTAGATTTTCTAAGGAGATGAGGGAGTGCCAGAGCAGAAAGGCATTGTAATCTGAACAAGGATTTCAGAACAGAGGGAAGCACCAGTGCTGGGAAATCACCATCCTGAGTAACAGCAATCCCGTAATTCCGTCCGTAGGAAACAACTAAGCGTAATTTTGGGCCCTTCATATTTTACAGAGAAGATCCCAGGCAGTTGAAAGTCCTTTGCAAGGTGGGCTTAGGGAAATGAACATAAAGAAAGGCACAATCACAGTTTTGAGTTTTGTTTTTTAATAGTGAGTCCACATGTTTGTAGACATTTTCCAAAGAAGTGATTCTTTCACTTTTTGGAATTGCAGATTCTTTGAAGTCGCTGATGAAAATTGCAACCTGTCCCTACTCCAAACCAAGAAAAACAAGTATGCAGACATATCCAACACTTTCCACACTTTCCAGGTTTGGTTACCATCTTCAGGGGTGCCTTGGAATCTCAAAATTTCAGGTTAATAATCTTTCATTTTGGAAGTAATATATTGCTGTAAACTTCCATAACTGATTGCTGTGATGCACCAATAGTAAGCAAAGACCCACAGAGGACAGTTACCTCTACATAGCAAGGACATGGGCACTTGGAAAAAGGCACAGGTCCATAGATGGAAGCAAAGTCACAGGCTGGAAATAAATCAGTGGAAGAAGCATGCATTTTGGGAGTGGGGAAGTCATTACTGAATTTCCCATTCTGCTACAGCAGAGTCATGTAAACTTGGGCAGGGGTGCAGACTATGATGGATGGGGTCTGCTAGTCCTTATCTTCTTCTACAGACAATATGGGAGAAGAGATGGCAGAGTGGAAGCAGCCTGGACTGTGGACCTGTTTAAATCCCAGCTTCAGGTATTACTCATGGGTGACTTTGGGCAGATTATTCAGTTTCCCAAGTCTTTACTTCTAAGAAAGCTATAGAGATGCAGCAAATAATTATGTGTATGTAAATACCGTGTTACATGGTGAACTCTCACTTATTAGTAGCTTTTATTATTGCAAAAAAGGCCACCTTGACTTCAGGGGAGACTGTACCCTAAGAAGAGGTGGGAACGCTACCAAGGAGACCTAATGCCAAACTGTAAATATCCTAGAGCTATTCAGCTCTGCCCATTTTCAAAAAAACTACACGTTTAGTACATTTGTATGTCTTGCTATGTGAGTCTCTATTTAACATGTTAGAATATCTTTTGGCAGGTAATGAATTAAGAATGGGAATAGTTGGTGAAGACTGCATGTTTTGGAGAGTCTTCAGATATCAGAACAGTAAGATTGATTGATTAGGCAGAGTGATTTCTGGGTTGCCTGGTTCTACCCATGATTAATGGACTTTGCAAGGCTCACTTGAGATTTGTGGGCTTCCCCGGTTTATTTAAGAAGATTGTATGGGATATAGTTTCTTGTTGGTTTTTAAGATTCTATTGTCCAGAGGTTCTGTTGAAGTTAAAATAATATCAAGATATTTTGGGACACAGTCTCTGGTAATATGACACTGGAGAGTTCATAAGCTTCTATGAAAAATTCTGAAGAATAAAATTAATCTTACCATATGATGTCTTATATACCGGGTTTTTGATAGTGCATTAGTAAACAATTTTGAATTATTCCTCTTAAACATTTTTTTCCTTTCTCTAACATTTCAAATTTGGTTCACTCACCTTATGTAACCCCCTTGCATCACTTCCCTTTCCATTTATTTCTTCTCTTTAGATCTAACTCCTACGAATGACCTTGCTTGTGTCAAAAGTAGCCCTTCCTCCCAGTGATATGAACTGGTTTGCCATTTTTTTCCTCCCTTGGAGAACCAACTGGGTAACAACAGAGAAAAATTTCTTGATGTTGTTATTCTATTAATCTTTCATTCTGTGATGGGGCAAGGAAACCCTTCGTGCTGAGATCTGAGACAAGGACTCCAGAGGTGGGAGAGGGAGAGGAGCGGGAAGCAAAGTGTGAGAAAGGATCAGTGACTCCCAGAAGTGAGAATGGGATTATCGGGGCTGATTTCACATGCTTCATCCCCTTACACACATCCTTGAACCTCTAAGCATCACTAGATGATACAGATGATTACACAATGTGAGGTCCATGGGAGTTCAAAGGAAAGAACTGTATCATCTAATCACAGGGAAAGTGGTCTTTGAATTAGATTTTGAATGATGCATAGAGCAGGAACATGTAATGACAGAAATGGGCTGGAATTACTCAGGGAATGAGTGAACACATGTAGGGGTGATAGATAGGTCCCTAATACTGAAGGAGAGATAAGATTGCATTGTTTTTAGATTTCCAGAAACCTTCTTGGGTCATTGGAATTGCAATTGAGGTGGAGCAGCAGATCTTTCTGAGGGAGATCCAGGGAGTAGACAATCATGGTGAGTGATATTTACTCTAGTTATCTGCATGGTGGTGAGTGTCTGAAGGCCTGGCTCCAGGCCGGTGGGAGCAGGCTTG